GTCCTAAGAAAAAACTTGGGAACGGATAACAGAACAAGGCAACGCACAACAGCAACAGAGAGATGCACCCAAGGGATAGGCGAGAATCTTTGCAATGACGGAGCAAGAAGAAGATCAAAATCAAAAGGTTTTAGCAGGTAATATCCTCATATCTTACTTATTAGCCTATGTATTGATAGATTCTGGTACAAGTCATTCCTTTATATCCCTTAAGTTTGTACATAAATTGTGTAATAGTTGAATCTACACGTTTTCCCTTAGTAGTATCTATCCCCTCAGGAAATATGTTGAATAATGATCACATTGTTAAAACGGCAAGGATAGAAATTGAGAGCAAATCATTGGAAATGGAGTTGTAGGTGATACACATGAACGAATTTGATGTGATTCTTGGGATGGGTTGGCTATCTAAGAACCACGGGAAAATTCTTTGCTTTGAGAAAAAAGTGGTCATTCTAAATTAGGAGAAAAGGAAATTTGTTTATCTATAACAAGGAATGGACCCCTACCACACGCCATTTCTACGATTAAAACACAATAGATCTTGCAATTGAAAGATAGTGTAGGAATACTGACGTCAATGATAAGAAAGGAGGAAAACAATGACACATTATGTAGGAGGAAGTGTAGTTCACCGGTTCATTGGAATGAGGTTGGTAAGCGAAAGATGTTGGGGCGAGATATCATTAAGCAAACGATGAAGGCTATTGAGAAAATTCGAGTTAGAATGAAAATTGTCTAGGACAGACAAATGAGTTATGCTAACAAAAGAAAAAAAGAATTGAAATTTTTGGTAGGTGACAAAGTATTTCTCAAGGTTGCACCAATGAAGGGAAAGTTGCAAACAAGGTTCATTGGTCCATTTGAAATCTTACAACGTATTGAAAATGTCACCTATGAGTTGGTTTTACCCCCAAAACTTTCAAGAGTGCATGATGTCTTTCATGTGTCAATGCTTCAAAAGTATGTCCCTAATGTCATGGTCAACGACCAGTCCATTGATTTTCAACGGGGTTTGAACTACGAGGAAGTACAAATAAGGATCATTAATTAAAAATTTCAAGTACTCAGAAATAAGGTGATCCCCTTAGTGAAAGTACAATGGCGCAATCACTCCGTCGAAGAGATAACTTGAGAAAGAGAGGTAGAGATGCGAGCTAAGTACCTATGAATATTCTATGAATTTCAAGGTAAATTTCGAGGACGAAATTTATTGTTAACGGGGTAGATTGTATCATTGTAATACCTATGGCTAATTTTATTAATTTAGCTTTGACCCATTAAAAAAGAAAATGATACTATTAATATTTAGCCCAACCTTTTTGTTTTATTTTTCCTTTTGGGCTTAAACACAAGTTGTTAAAATTTTATCCAATTTTAATTAAATAATGGAGATAATTTTTTAATTTTATCTCTTTTAGTTAGATTGAAATTTTAAATGATTGAGATAAAAATCAAATTCCTATTAATGTAATACTTTAATTAATTTATATTTTATTTAATGCTACAATAGAATTGAGAAAATGTTTCAATGTTATATCTTTCAATTAAAATTGAAATATAAAATCATAAAGATAATATTTTAGTTTTATCTATACTTTATTTAACTTTAAAAATTATAGAGATTTTTTATTATTATTTTAAATTCATTATCTTATCCCATTAATTGAAATATGATCAAGATAATGACAAGATTTTATCACTTTTAAGATAAAGAGTTCAATTCAATTAGAACTCTCAAAACATGGTAGCCTCTATAAATAGGCAACATATGTCCCATTTTCAAATACATTCACTTCTCTGTGGAATACAAACAAATACAAATATAGTACATTCTTTAGCACGTTCGTCAAAAGTTGAAGTCCCAAATATTCCAGTATTTCTCTTATCATTTCCATATAATATAGTAAGTGTATAAGTATTCTTTTATGGGATTATATGCGTACGTTAGAATTTTTGAACATTGATTATGAGGTCACTTATGTATGTTGTTCTAAACTTGAACTGAAGCATAGTAGCACTACCAACCAAAGTTTCATACCACCTATATTCCATTTAGATTTTTATGTCTCACCATGTATATATGTATGAAGTTACTTAAATTCTATACAAATATTAATCCATGTACTTATATGCTTATTGAGATTTTGTCTCACACCTCCCTTTTATCCCCTTTCAGGAAATTGATGCTTCGTAGCAATTAAAGCATGAGAGGGCAAGCAAATTGGCAAGTGAAAGAAACCCACCAAGCTTTTTTTTTTTGTTAAGAACTTATTTAATTAATGGTTTGATATTAAGATTGTTAAACTTCTAATATTTTATTTTATGTTGACAACGAAAAATTTTATGTACTCAATCCTGCAATTTCATGACATTATTTAAATGAATTTCAAGCTTTTGAAAGTACAATACGATGTTCAAGATATGATTTTAGTGGCACTCGAACTTTAGTGGGATCAAACCAAGTTGCCACCGTTAACTATGGAAACCAATTGTTATGTGTGAATATCCCATCCAAGTAGACAACTACGTGGCACACCAAAAGCGATAATCCTATAAGAATTGATTAATAGTTTCATCACACACAATTGAATACTCCAATTAAAAATAACAACAATTCAGAGTTCCATGATTATAAGAACAATAATTCAGATGGCTACCATTAGCAGTTGCTACATAAACTTTAGACATTACAAATATGTTTAACCACTACCTCTAATGGGATAAGTAATCACATTCTTTTCGTTTCACAACTACAGCGAACTGAGCTTCTTGTTTAGCCTCGCAGTACAGGGATAGTCTCCTAAGTACTTCGTACTACAATATATTCTATTTCACGTAATGGGAGTTTCTAATGTAATGAACGTCAGAAGATTTTGCCAATTTTTTATCATTACCAACCTTATTTTCCCCAATCACATAACCAGTTTCTACTCTCCATAAAACGAACGTAACAAAGATCATCAATATAGTTCCTTATGAAAGATGGAAGTTATTTGGTAGAATAAAATGTTCTTTATTCAAAGACAAGCTTTTACTTGATAGTATTATCAAAGAAAGTAAATCATCACATTGATGCCAAACGGTATAAAAGGAACAGGACAATACTGACTGTGTCTATCCCAAATTCAATATGTGCATAATACATTTCTCGATCAAACGAGTTGAGATCTGATGTCCAATTTTCACTATCCAACTGAATTAATTATTGACCCGTGATTTTTAAATTAAAACGTCATCTCAAATTTATCCTCGTCAATTCACCACTAACCCACCAGATTGATAACAGAAAGAAAAGGAAATGCCGGTGATGAGAAAATGGGTACCTGGAGTAGGTTTTGGGAGAAAAGAGAATAATGTGGTCCTCTCACTTCGGTGACACCATACCTTCTCGGCTTCTCTGGTCGATCCTCGTCTTCGAAAAAGCTCTTCCATCTGTAGGCTGCCATCTCTCTTCTATGTTTCCTCTCAGAATTAAAGTATGAAGTTTACAGAGGAATCGAAAGGAAGGACCGTTCTCGATTTTAAAATAGTGAAGCAGTGAAGAATCAAGAGGCAGGATGAAGTCTTGAGCGGTTTCTAGAAATTTTGTCGACTTTTTCCTCATCAAAGATGGGTCCCGTTTTGAGCTCTGACGTGTCAATTTTGCATGAATTTTATATTTTTAATTGGAATGCTGTTTTTACGGTTTTACCCTTGTAATTTTGCCCAGTTTGATTCCAATTTTTGGAGTAAAATGCGTTATAGAAAAGTGGTTTTTTGAAGACTGTATGATTGAAAAGTAAGAATTTTTTTTCGAAATATGTGTATAATTATTTTATTAAAGAATGTATAATTAAAAATGAACTTTGAAAAAATAGGGCTCAAACAAAGACTTTATGTTGCTTCATACTAATCTGATAATCAAGATTAATTATGTCTTACAAAAATTACACTGAGTAATCTCCAAATTTAAATAAATAAATAAAAAGGTTTACCGTTTCACGTTAAATATATTTTTTTCTTTTTATAGATTCAGTCCCATTTATTTTTTCAAATTTATTTTTTTGTTTTCGAAAATTCCGATAACACGAAGAGAAATTCAGCCAGACAGTTATTCAACTTGTGGGCCTTAATCCGGTTGAGATCCATCAAACAATCTCCTTGACTCGATTCAATTATTATAGTTTCTTAAAATTAGTTTTAAGAGGTTTAAAAAAATATTAAGAGTCTGTTTGGGAGTGATTTTGAGAATTGATTGTTTAACCGTTAGAAGAAAAAGCAGAGTCCACATGTAAGAAAAGAAGTCAAATTTAACGGCTGAAATAGTGAAATAACGATAAAAAAAACCAATTTTTCAGAGAGAAAAAATCACTCCCAAACAACTCTAATATTTAGTGAGACAGATTTGAAGTTTTGGTCACATCAATCGGACGCACATAGCTTGTTTATGCTATCTTTGATCCATATCAACATTGCACATTGACCGTTTTAAGCCTCGTGAATATGGTATGAATTTATTCCCATTTGTCCTATACGAGTTGTGCAATAACGAGGGCAAAATTGGGCCGATATTCAATAAAAAAATTATTTAATACCGGAATTCTGGTTTTCATCACTCCCAAACAGGAGCTAAGAGAATATCACGCGGGTTAGGCCATGCAGAAATGTAAGGCCCATTATAACCCACTTGAAAAGGTAACCCAGCCCAATCCAAGCCCTCAAGGTGCCATGGACAGTCCAGCCCACTTGAAAAGCCCAATCCAAGCCTTCAAGGTGCCGGTGCCACGTACAGTCCAGCCCAAGCTTATGCACTTAACTCACAACAAGCAAAGATCTAAGAGTGTGTTTAATTGACATGAAAAATATCACTTAGAAAAGAAAATATTTTCCATCTTTTGTGGAAAATAAAAACCACATCTACCTAAAGAAAATGTTTTCCTTAAAAACAAAGAAAATTAGGCATATTTTCAAAAATTGGAAAATGTTTTCTATGGAAGAAATAACAATCAAACACTCTAAGTACGAATTTTGGTGAAAAACTAATATTTTCCATGGAAAATAAATGTAATCAAATACACCCTAAAAGATATAAGGCTACCAACTTTATGAGTCTAAACATAATACAATGCTTGCTTATATTTAATATTGTTTCATTTATTCTCAATGGGTTATTCAATTATTTTATTAAACTTTAAAAACACTGATCCAAGTCATAGTCTTCATTTATCCGTCTAGACTCCGTTTTTCATATCTTTTAGAACACTGCTTTCAAGACTCGTCTAATATAGAATTTCCTCAAAAAACTGTATTTAAGTGATGATCCCAATTTTATTTAATATGTAATTTTATATGTAACTTGTGTAAATATAATCGGGTAAGGAATATATACAAGCTGTGAAGCCACTTCCATAGATGCACTTGACAATGGTGACAATTCTTTTCTTGTTCCCCCCATGAAAGGAATCCAACTCTCCAGAGCAAACGTGAAGCAAAAGCATAGTAAAAAAACAACTTTCAAGACCGAAAAAATCCCTTTTTTTCCAGTTAATACAGCTAATCTTCTCATATAAAACATCCATCCACTTTATTCCTATTCCATGCAGAGGGCGATCTATGTTTATATAAGACATTTCACGTTTCTCCAATGGAAAACCTACGTCTGAAAAAAAATGGCAAAATATATCGGCTTCCTCGTGTGCCTTTTGATCATGATTATGGACATTATAGCAGGAATTCTTGGTATTCAAGCAGAAATTGCTCAGAACAAGGTATTTTTCGTTCAAGAAAAGCTTGTAGAAACACTTTTTGCTCTTTTATTGCGTAATAATAGTTCTCATTTACAGGTTAACCATCTGAGGGCTTGGATTTTTGAATGTAGGGACCCTAGCTACCAAGCTTTCAAGCTTGGTATGGCTGCAGTGGTACTCTTAATAATGGCACATGTTATAGCCAATTTGCTTGGAGGGTGCATTTTCATTAGATCCAGGGAAGAACTAGATCAAGCTTCACCTAACAAGCAACTGGCAGCTGCATCCCTCATCTTGTCATGGTACCTTATTCTGGATTATGTCAAGCATTATGATTATTCTCTTATAGAACAATTTCTTATCATTCAGACATCTATTGATATAACTTATGGTAATGGACCAGGATTATGCTGGGTGTTGCATTTATACTGCTGATTTCTGGAACATTGTCAAACTCAAAATCAAGAAGAGATTGCGGAATAGCACATCATTGGCTACTGTCTATAGGAGGAATTTTGTGTTTTATTCATGGACTCTTTTCAGTTGCCTATTATGTTTCTGCTACTGCCTTCATCCGAGAAGAAAAGAAACTGAGTCAACACGGAAGCCATGAAAACCAACCAAATCAAGATGGAGCCGAGGCCTGATTTTTCCACTACAAGATCATCCGGAATTATGTTTCTTGTTTTCTTTTTTACTGAATTTCATTGAATTTTAATTTCTCATGTTACTGGGTGACCAATGTGTTTTTCCCGTCCCTCAGAAGTCTTTCCGAATGAATTTCTCACTGTTGGAAAGTTGGAACTATACTGATAATCTTGTGAGGAATATTTAACCTTAAATTTTCTAATTCTGAAGAATTTAATATAAGGATCTCATTCCTTTCTTGTTGCAACTCCTCAGAAGGTCACTTAAGATGAAGTGAGGTTTCTTCAATTATAAATATGTGCTATATTAACCAACCTAGAGCACTGCAAACATCAATCAGAAAACGAAGGTGAACTTTCCGTCCTTTTCATAGAAAGGCAAAGTAGAGGGTGGAAAAGCAGGGGGAAAACATGGAAAAACTAACATATTCAACCAAGACACAGAAAAATGGAGGATAGTCAATAAGCAATCAACAAAACAGAGAAACATATCAAAGATCAGTACCCCAGACATGTTTAAGCAGGTAACAGAAGAACAATTATATGTAATGTGCCAACAGTCCTCAAGAGGAAAAATAAAAAAGGGGAAGTAAAGAGGGTGTGCCTATTTCATTGAACTCCAAGCATAATAGAACATCAAAATATTAGTTCATGAAATCATTAAATAGAAAAATAATTCGTTACTCTGACTTCCTCCATTTCAACTAGCAGTATATTTATATCTATTCCTAACATGATTACGATAATAGCCCAGAGATGGAAACTCCTTGACAATTAGATGAAATTGGAAGTCCATTAATCAACTGTTCGGCAAAGTTTTTTGAGATTATAAGGTGGTGGTCCCATGAAATAAAAATTGTGGGTCCAATGAAGTGTGTGATTAAAAATGAAATTCGACCAGATTAAAATCTGTAAAAAGCTTTACCAAGCAAGAGCTAAGACGTTGATATTATCATTAACTGACCTTCAGTGCATCATGTACATCATGAGACCCTCCCTGGAAATACTTACATTTAACTAACTCAAATCAAGATTAAATTATAGCTTCAGCTGCTGGCACTAGAGGAGGCCTATCAAAAATTGTCTTCCACTTTCCCATTGTATTTTTACCAGTCTCAAAACTTATAGCTCACTTTTAGCAATTATCAATGAATCTCCAAAAATGTCATGTCGAGAACAAGAAGAAGATTTCGGTACACCAGGAATGGTTTGTACACTCCCGATAAATAGTATTATAACCTCTAGTCAATGAACATAGATATCAAAACAGTTCCACAAGAATCAAGCGAGACCCCATATGATGATAAAAAATGCAGCTAATATCAGATAAGTAGGAATACCAAAAGATATCAACAACTATAAAGCATATATAGGCTATTGATAAAGATCAATATTGAAGAAGTTAATAATACAGAGCAAGCTGCAGAATTCACCAATTTAGAATATACACTATAAACAAGGAAGATAAGCTAGGAATTTATATGTAACTACACTTAAAGCAGAAACAGATATCTGATAAGTTGTCCAGCCAGCAAACCATTGAAAAGAACTTACCCCCTGCACCTGTCAACAACATCAGTGATCAGTTGCCCTCATAACATTCAAAACCAGCTTGGTCTGAGCTTGCATCACTTCATAGATCTTCTCTTCAAGCTCAATCTCTTCCACTCGCAGCTTCCTCCACTCTTTATGCCCCTCAATTTTATTTTCTCCTTCAAAAAATTCTGCCCCAGCCCTCAAAATCCACTCCCTCGTGCTCAAACCATTGTTACTCCCTCCACCGAAACTACTGATCATCATCTTTACATCAGCACTCGCAACATCCAAACTCTTCACTTCCTTGAAATTGCTATTTTCAACGTTAGTAACCCCCTTATTAGGGATCTTCCTCGTAGCAGTATCGTTTGCTTTAGGACTCCCCACTGCTTTCTCTCCCTCGCTTCCATTGTCGTTCTCACTGCCCCATATCTTTTTTGACAAATCAAAAGCTTTTCGCTCGTGGGCCTTTAAGAAGGTTCTCTCTTTGCCCTCCTTCTCTTTACTCTTATTGTTCTCATACTTCTTTTTCAGCCTCCTAATTTTATCCTGCAACTGAGTCCTGGTCGCATCCACATGCAGGTTCTCCCTAATAAAATCATGAAAATCATTCAAATCAGCAACTGGGTCGGATTTTTTTTCGGAGGCATAATCAATCAT